TGTAAGCCTAGATAGGATGCGGAGAGTGCATCCTCGGAGGCAGAACCCGAAACCGGTCTGGGTAGGCGAGGCACTTGGTTAGGTAAGTAATTTGTACTAATTACTTGCTGAAGCCTGTAACATGGTTATTTTCAGTTATATTTCCTTTGAGAAAAAGGATGTGAGGTTCCAGCTGTTCTGTCGGGACTGAATGTCTTATTTTATTTATGTATTCAATTATTCATTCATGCGCTCATTTATTTTAAATATTTCAAATTATATCCTACTGGGCCTTTCGCTCACGTTTTATATTTTAAATGTTAAACCCCTCCCAAGAGACTCGAGGAGCGGTGCAGGGTAGCTAGAGTTGCTACTGTTGGATCAAGTAGGGATTGAGTTTATCCTCTTGAACAAATGTAAGGAATTTGAGAAATTATGTAAACCTATTTAATATTGGATTCACTAGACTGTGGACGATGTCTATTGTAATTGATTATTTACATGTGCATGTATGTACGATACTGTATGTCCTGTGGGGTGGAGCCCTGTGTGTCAGAGGCTCCTGGATTATGTCATTTATTTATATTTTTATGCAGTTAAGTGTGGGACCCGGTTGGGAATCTGCTTTATTAATCCCAAATCGAGTTCCACGTCACCCACCCCGTTTGGGGGGCGTGACACCCTTACCATGGCCGCCGAACACCATCTCCCTACCAACTCATCTTCGGAGCTCACCCACGTCCGCTATGGATGCTGAACTCCCCATCTCTACCAAGGTCATCACGAGAGCTCTGTGAAGTCGTTGGATCACGTCGGACCTAACCGGAATCATCTTCCTCTTCTTCGTTGCTGCTTCTCATATATGGTTGTCTCCTTCGAAGCCCTCTATCCGATGCCCACATCCCTATTTCCGGCAGAGCTCGTCATGGCTCCGCGAGACCAACGACAAAAACCAACCTAGGCCCCCTCAAATTTGGTTGTTGCATTCAAGATCGGCAGCTCCTCGCCGTCGCTCGCCTACCTCCATTGTAGTCCCTTCCGTCGCAACTCCTAGCTTGCTCCTCTGACGTCGTCCCAGGCCCCTGTCGCTAAGCAGATTTAGTTTAATCGTTCCTTATCGTAAGGGAATGAGACGAGAGAGACAGATGAAAGACCAACATGCTTTTTTTTGTTTGGTAATTTTATATATTAAATTTAACAAATTGATTTGTTATTAAATAAATTACAAAAAATGTTGTGTTATTTTTTCTACAATTTAATTTTTTAAAATATTTTTATAATTTTTGAAAAAAGAATTATGGTGTTAAAAATATATAATCATCTAATTTAATAAAATTAACAAAATATTTGAAAAAAATCTATGGTGTTAAAAATATATAATCATCTAATTTAATAAAATTAAAAAAATTTAATTGGTTTTTAAATATTTAAAATTATTACTTTTATAAAAAGATCACATTATATTATTATGCGTATAATACACACAGTAAAATAATATTTCTAAGAATCTGAGTGAAAATTTTTGTACATAATCTTCTCTCACTTTTATTGCTGCGTAACAAACGTCCCTGAGGGGGCATTTGGTATGGGGTAATCATAGGGGTGAGAATGGAAATCTAAAAGATTCTCATGTTTGGTACAATTATTAGACTTTTTTAAAACCCAAGAAAGTGAAGCCCATGGGTTTCACATTACCCCATTTTAGGGTAATCCTAATCCCACCCAATATGGTGTTATTCAAATTTTCAGGAATCTCAAAATCATAGGAATCTCATAATAGTAATAATAATAATAATAATAATAATAATAATAATAATAGTAATAATAATAATTATTATTATAATAATAGTAATAATAATTATAATAATAATAATAGTAATAGTAATAATAATAATAGTAATAATAATTATAATAATAATAATAGTAA